GCCGATTAGGACTATAAATACAACGTAAAGCAGCATTTACTAACCTGAAAACACAGCAGAAACAGAGAAAACGTCGACTTTCAAGGCAACAGTGCAGCAATCGAAGTATTCCTCTGCCAGGCTGTCCCTCTTATCTCCTTCCTTCACTCCCACCAGGGAAAATGGCCCTCAGCAACAGCCTGGAGAGCCATTAGCACCAATTAGCATCACTTAATGCAATTCACCTGTTTGGACTGCTGTACCAGGGGTACACAGCTGTGCCCTTCTCTTGCCTTGATTGCTCGTGGCTCCTGGACTCCAGTGACAGTTCCTGAAACTGGAGCCCGGACTGATTTTATGTGATTAATTAGGGAAAATGACCCCAGTGCTGCTTTCCCCCATTATCTGTGCTTCTCTCGCCCATGCCTGGCTCCTGCTGCCCAGTGTTCTCAGTGTCAGTGCTAGACTGTTATATTTGGTGTTTGAATGTCTACATCTTCCTGAGAGGAGGCTTTCTGAAATCCCAAACAGTGCTTTTGTCCAGTACTTCACACGACTCTGTATCAGCTGTACATTTAGGAATTTGTTACGAGGAGTTGGTCACTACCTTCCTTTTGGAGAAGAGGAAATTAAGATATAGAAAAGCAAGATCACCCAGAAAGGGGTAGAAGGAAGAATTTGGAATAAAACCTGTTGACCAGCTTAATCCCAGCCCAGGGCCCCTCCAGTGAAGTAGCTCCTCCTACCCCATGAATGCTTCCAATGCAGGACAGACATTAGGGCAATATTGGGAGCATTTCAGCTCTCCTGTTGCTTTGTCATCATTTCACCTCCGCAACCAACTTCACTGCCCTTACAACAGAGACAAAACCCCTGATGAGGCCAGGAAGCTCAGTCTGTTAATGATTATAAAATGCTTTGAAACTTCCAGCTGGCAGGTGCCACAGGAGAGCAAGGTTTGTCAGCACTGACCTCCTGGGCACATTATCTCCCCCCGTGATGCTGGGAGGGAAAATGACAAGTGGCCTAATGCAGGGAGATGCGTCAGATTCATCAGTAAATCACGGGGGGAGAGGCACCTTGGCTTTGCTAGCAGGGCATTTGTACCTTCCTGCGTCATGCAGGCTCCCTGCCACTGCCACGGACGTGCTCTGCCCAGGCATGGAGAGAAAGCCCTGGGGCAGGGGCAGCACAGGGGC